CCCACGTAGTCGACCGCGGTTCGCGTCCCGGACCTGGTGGCTTAAAACATGCCGGGCGCGTGTGCATGCGTGCCCAAGATCCCGAGAGGAGAATGGAGGAGAAGGGATTGCGGCGTGACCATCCCCCCTGGAGGGTGATTTCTCGCCTTCTGTCTCTATGTCTGTCTCTGTCTGGCAAGCGCACGCGCCCTATAGCAAAAAAAAAACTCTCAAAAAAAAAAGGTGTTTTCCACCCCATCCCCAATGCCAGCATAAGTGTCCACATCACCCTGTCTTTTCCAGCCCTGCCACTTCTCACAACAGTGAACTGTATGTGTCATATTGGTCTCCTCCTGTATCCGTTTCCTAGGGCTGCCATAAACAGTCACCACAGATGGTGTGACTAAAGCAACCAAAATACATTGTCTCACAGTTCTGAAGGCGAGGAGTCTGAAACCAAGTTGTCGGCCCACTGTGCTCCCTCTGACGCCTCCAGGGAAGACTCTCCTTGCCTTTGCCCAGCTTCTGGTAATTGCCAGAAATCCTCGGTGTTCCTCCTGAGCTCTTATCCTTCGGATTTCTGCCTCTGGCTTCACGTGACCCTCTCTCCTTTCTGTTAACATCCTTGTAGGTCCCTCTCCTCGTCTTATAAGGACATCAATCACATGGGCTTTGGAGCCCATTCTAATTCATTATGACCTCATCTTAATTTAGGTATGTGTATCTTCAAAGATCCTGTTTTCAAAGGCAGTTACATTCATACGTACCAGGGACTAAGACACATACACACACACACACTATGCTCCCTGCCCCAAAATATGTGTTTGTATGTGTATACACCAACACACACAATATATGCTTGTGTAGCGATGTATGTATACACATCCTCCACACACACATAAATCTTTTAGGAAGGACATAATTCCGCCACATATGACAGACTTCAGAATGTTCATGGAAAAATAAAAGTACCAGCTTATTTCAATACAAAAAAGTTTTAAATCCATGCATTACTTTTTCATAAAAATGCATTTCCACGAACTTTTTTTTTTTTGAGAGGTTTTTGCTATAGGGCACATGCGCTCCCCAGACAGACAGAGAGACATAGAGACAGAAAGCAAGAAATCACCCCCCAGGGGTGATGGTCACGCCGCAATCCCTTCTCCTCCACTCTCCTCTTGGGATCTTGGGCACGCACGCACATGCGCCCGGCATGAGTTTTAAGCCACTGGGTCCGGAACGCAAACCACGGTTGACTACGTAGGAGTCCAGAGACATAGCCATTACACTAACTGCTGGTTCCCCCCACGAACTTTTTGAAGATATATATATATAGATAGATATAATCACTTCACATATATCTGAGAAAAAGATATTAACATGAACAGTAAAAAGCAGAAAAGTTATTCTAGCCACTGCTTTCTGGCATGGTTACCAGCATCTACACGTTTGCCTCTCTCTGGCCCTTGTGAATGTTGTACTTGGATTCTGACTCTGTTGACCACTCCCGCCAATTCAACTCCCCACATAATATTTCTGAGTCTCAGAAAACAAAGTTTATAAAATGTCTTCCTCGTTTTTAAATTAAATTTAAACTTGCAACAAAAGAAGAAAACACTTGCATTCTGTTTGCTTCCAGGGCAGCGCCAGCTCCTCTCAGCCTCCGTTCATCCAGATGCCAGGTGAGTGTAACTGGGTGAGGAACTCGGTCCCTCTTGAGGCTAAATGGAGCACTGGGGCTTCCACTCTTTTATAACCTCCTCCAGAGCACTTTCAAAACTCAGCTTCTTTAAGATAGTTCTTTGTAAATTACAAAATTACTGAAGACAGACCTGATTCAGTCATTCCTGAATTTAGAATTCATTCTGTCTTGAGAGCAGACTTTTGATCTTTTCCCTTACAGAAGCTTTTGGGGCAAAGGCAAAAGCAATCAGGCCCTTGATAGTGTTTCAAATGTTTAAAGTTCTGACATTGTGATCTGAGAGGTGAATGCACCTGTTTTAGAACAGAAAGAGAGTGAGGGCTAGGGGCAGATGGGGGAACTAGCCTTGTCAGATGTTCTCTGTATGGCAGGAATTTATTTCAGCATTCAGTATTCATTTCAATGCCCAATTTCTTTTTTTTCTTTTTTCATCTTTTTTTTTTTTTTTTTTTTGTAGAGAGGTTTTTGTTGTTGTTGTTGTTGTTGTTGTTGTTACAATAGGGCATTTGCACTCACTAGACAGATAGAAAGTGAGAAAATCACCCCCAAGGGGGAACAGCCATGCCACAATCCCCTCTTCTCCATTCTCCTCTTGAGATCTTGGGCATGCATGTGCATGCAACTGGCATGAGTTTTTTAAGCTGCTGAGTCCAAGACTTGAACCATGTTCAACTACATAAGAGTGCAGTGATGTAACCATTATGTCATCTGCTGGTCCCATCAATACTCAGTTTCAATACTATGTCTCATTAAATACTCCTGTGGGAATGCAAAAGTGGCTTCTTGTTAATCATATTGGGTTCTCTCTCTCTCTCTCTCTCTCTCTCTCACACACACACACACACACACACACACACACCCTCACCTTCCAGACCTTATCCTTAGAACTGGCATGACTAAGGGACCAGCAGTTAGCGTAATGGCTATGTCACTGGACTCCCATGTAGTCGACTGCTGTTTCGGGTCCTGGACCCAGTGGCTTAAAGTCACACTGGGCGCGTGTGCATGAGTGCCCAAGATCCCAAGAGGAGAATGGAGGAGAAGGGATTGTGGAGTGGACATCCCCCCTGGGGGGTGATTTCTCACTTCCTGTCTCTCTGTCTTTCTCTTTCTGGCGAGCGCATGTGCCCTATAGCAAAAAACTCTCCAAAAACAATGTTGATTTATTTGGGTAGAATTGCCATTTTGATTATATTAATTCTTCCAATCCAGGAGCATGGGTTATCCTTCCACTTTTTTGAAAGCAGTAAAGGACATCTCTATGTTGTGTTTCTCAATCATATACACTGCCACTGAAATCTGCTCTGTTCTCTATTTGTGCAGCTTCTCTTTCCATCTAGAATTATTCTTTCCCTTTTTAAGAATAAAAATATATGCTTAAGCATGCAGAGGAATTTTTTTCATTGTTGTTTTTATTTGGAGATTGCACGTTTTTTTTCCAGAGGCTGAAAACTCTTAAGCGCGGCTTTTAATTACATGAGGTGAGAAGTTTGGGGCTAGTGGGCCTAGCAGGTGGCATGGTGATTAAGGCACTGGACTGCTTTCCTTCTCTCTCTGGTGAAAGCACAAGCCCTCTAGCAAGTTGAAAAGAAATAATAAACTTAAAAATGTGTAATTCTTAAAAAAAAAAGAGAGAGAGAGAGAGAAGTCTGGGGTTATAGAACTTAAGATGAAAGTAGAATAGAATCATGCTGTATGTTTTGATGGGAAATTCTGATTTCTTCTTCTGAATAAGTAAGTTTATGTATAATTGCAGAATAGAATAATCTACCATTGGGTTTACAGGAAATGTATAAGACGCACCACCATGGAGTCTGCAGGTTGGCTGGAGAAACAATTTTCACTCAGGAAACGAGCAATGTTCATTGTGTGGGGCAGGCCCCGTCCTGGTTCTGTAGAGCCATACATGACTGAGGAGAAGCGACTTTGGGTTTTGTCTGTGAGTGACTGGGGTGGACAGGGACAAAGCTCAGAAGAGGTCCACTATGGTTCAGGGCGATAGAAGGACAAAGATGTGCATCTTTTCCCCAGCTCAGCCCTTAGGTGGCCTCAGGGTGTTGGTCTCAGATAATTAGACCAAGCCCTCCACCAGCTGGAATAGTGAAACCATCAGTTCTACAGTCTGCGAGTCTATGCCCCCACCTGTTCCAAATGATAATGTAGTTCTTGCTACACCTGAGTTACGGGATCAGCACGTGTTTAGCAAACACATTCAGAACCACCTCACTGGTCTTGCCTTCAATGAGACACTTGTCGGCCTCAGCTTCTCTTCCGTTCCATTAAAGGAGACTTTCTCCTAACCTTGCAGGGCCCTGGTGAGCTGAGTGGGGGATTCAGTATGGCCACAAGAGGGCGGCAGATAACACAAGACTCTTCAAAGCCAGAAAACATAGTTTGCGGTCCTCTAAAATTGCTTCTGTACAATTTCATCATTCCAAAGCAAACCACTTACTGATGTCTGCTAGGTGTGAGACACGGAGCTGAAGGCCAGTAGACAAAGAATTAGAAAACAGAGTGCAACCTGCATCTGGCTCCAAGTAGGGCTATGACACCTTATCTAGAGATACGGAGTCTGAGATAAGCAGCCTCTTGTGAACAGTTCTGTGTCTCTGGAGACAGAGCTCAGAGGCCGGGGAAAGATGCTTCAGTTGACAAAATGTGAACGCCAAGGGACTGACCTACCTCTTCCTTCCTAGCCCAGTGCTGGCACCCGGAGGGCACACATACATGTAGATTAAGTGGACACGTGAAGTTATTATACCATCTAAAATGAGCTCGTGGACAAAGGCAGGGTGAACTTGAACCATTTCAGCTATTTGGGCTGAAACAGTTCAAAGATGTAATGCAGGGGTCAGCAGATGGCGAGATGGGTACCTCGCTGGACTCCCACACTGTCGACCACAATTCGAGTCCCAACAGGCTGCAAACTCACACTAGCGTGTACGAGCATGCCCAAAATCCCGGGAGGAGAATGGAAGAGAAGGGATTGCAGCGTGGCCAACACCCCTGGGGGATGATTTCTCACTTTGAGTCTCTATCTCTTCAGGGAGCGCTTGCACCCTATCGCAAAATCTCTCTTGAAAAAAAAAAAAAGAAAGAAAGAAAGTAAGTAACGCAGCCGTGTTACACCCTCTCAAGACATTCATTTCCAGCGCGGGTTTCGGGCACAGGTTAGCGGCATCGTTTCCCACCTGCATACACGGCTGCAACCAGCATGCTTTGACCCTCCCGGGAGGAATTTTTGGCCCACTTGTTTTTCGTTTGGCAACAGGTTCGCCGGTCATGTCAGGTTACTATGGTGTCAGAAGATCTCTCTTGTCTGACTCAGACTTCCACAACTCGAAACAGCTTTCCAATGACGTCTACAGCTCAAGTGTGCCCAAGCCCTTTGCCTGCGAGTCCGCGGGGCAGGGCCACGCGGCCCTCTTGGAGCCCTACTGTCCAGAGCCCTACGGAGACTACCGGGCCCCGGTCCTGGCCCCCAACGCCAGCTCCCTGTTCAGCGCCTCACCCCTGCCGCCGCTGCTGCCACCGCCCCTCCCAGGCGACCCTGCGCACTTCGTATTTGTGAGTACCGGGGAGTTCGTGATCTTGAGTAGCAGAAACGCGAGGGGCGGGAGCTCAGGTCTGGCTCGCCCTGCAGACCCCTGAGGCTGCTCTGCAGCTGTCGGGTCAGGCCGGCTGGGCCAAGATACCCTCTGAGGCCGCCTGGCTCAAAATCCGTCTGACCACGACAGAAGAGGGTCCGCTCCGGGGTTTGAACGTTCGTTTTATTAAGACCCTGCTGATCTTGCCAGATAGTCTCCCACCCCAATAGGGCGCGTAATCATCGTCCCTCCAGCCGTCAGGGAACAGCACTGATGATACACTTAGACACAGCCAGGTGGTCATCTCCCAGGACATGGGGCATCTCTGTCCCTTCCAGTCTCTTGCCTTCCCCTTCCCAACAATATTTCTTCTCTATAAATGCTGTTCTCTCTCTCTCTCTCTCTCTCTCTCTCTCTCTCTCTCTCTCTCTCTCTCTTTTTGAGAGGTTTTTGCTATAAGGCACCTGCACTCACCAGAGAGACAGAGAGACAGAAAGCGAGAAATCAGCCCCCCAGGGAGGATGGCCACGCTGCAATCCCTTCTCCTCCATTCTCCCCTGGAGATCTTGGGCACACATGCACACACGCCCTGCGTGAGTTTTAAGCCACCGGGTCCGGGATTCGAACCGTGGTCAACTACATGGGAATCCAGTGACATAGCCATTATACTAACTGCTGGTCCCGATGTTGTTCTCTCTTGATCCTTCCAAAGAAGTGAGTTCCAAAAGATACAAAGAATGCTAATACTCTTCTCATAGAAAACTTGGAAGTCTTCCTCAGGTGGAAGAAATGTCTAAATGTGGAATTTCAGACCGAGAGAGTGGGGCTGTGGCAGGATAGAGCGCGTGTTCTATGCCAGCAACTTCGATGTGCTATGGTTCCATTACTGCTCCGGACAGCTCAGGGTATAGTGATTAAAGCCCATTTCACAGGGTAACCTAGCAAGGTGCTCACCCCATGACCTTCCCGTTCTCCGCAGAGGGACTCCTGGGAGCAGACGGTGCCTGACAGTCTCAGCCAGCCGGATCCCCTGCCCACCGACACCCTGCAGACCTTGCCGCCCAGCACAAGTTGCTTCTCTCAGCTGGAGCCTGGAAGCTCTGCCCCGTTCAGGAGCTCCAGCTGGGGGCCCTCCCTAGCTGGGGCTCAATCCTACTCATTACATGCCCTGGAGGATCTGCATCCCACACAGGGGTACCCAAACCCACCTGCCTACCCCTTCACCCCATTCATGACAGTGTCAAACGACCTGCCACCCAAGGTGGTGCCGCTCTCCCCAGATGAGGGGGCAGACACCACTTCCCTTCATGACCCCTCACCTTGGACGAAAGAAGACACGAACATGGCCTGGGGCTCCTATGAATGCCGCAGAGCTTACTAAGGGGTGCACCCTAGGACTTCTATGTGTTTAAGTTGGGTTTGTGGCCCACGGATTGTCTTAGGTGTGTCAGCTCACTCGGAACTGGATTTTCAGGATAAGCCATAATGCCACCCTTTGTAAATAAACGGATAATGGCATTTATTTGCAGCCTTCCCCACCATCACCCCACTAAAGTGAAGCATGATATTTATTAAATATATCATGGGCATATGTAGGCAATCCTACAGTGAGGTCTTTCGGGAACTTCAGTACCCCTTTACTCCTGCACCTTCTGTTATCCTTGAGATACTATTTTTGGCACTGATTTTTTTTTCTTAAATGACATTAAAAAGTTTATGAAGATCATAAAACATACTGATTTTCCTGTCCAATGTTTTCTTAGTTATGAGTTATGTATATTCTTTTGTAAAAAGACGGATAGGCTATAAACCCAAGTGGGGGCATATAAAATAAAATTCATTTATACTGTGTGACTTTGAAGAGTGAAGTGTTCTCTGCATTCCCCTCATCACAGTGACTTGTAAATGTCCATAAAAAATATGGCATCATGTATAAGTGCTTTATTGTCCATAAAATAGAATGAGGTCAAGAGGCTATGTCAATATAGCTTTGACTCTGCCCTAAAGCCCAGGATGTCCCAAAATTAGTCTAGTCCAAAAAAAGCCAGAAATTTTTGCTTTCCTTTTTTTAAAATTTGCTATAGAGCATGCGTGCTCACCACAAAGAGATGGGGAGAGGGAGAGAAAAAGAGGGAAGATGAGAAAGCACCCTCCCAGGAGACTGGCCATGCTACAATCCCTTCTCTTCTCAGGATTTGGACATGCGTATATGCCCAGCATGTTTTTCAAGTCACCAGGTCCAGGGCTTGAACTGCAGTCAACCATGTGGTATCCAGCCACCTTAACCACCATGCCACTGGCAGGCCCCATAAATTTTCTTTGATCAATGATAGCCTTAATGAAGTTAGACATTGTCTCTCTGGTGGAGTAAACCTACAGTTATCAGAGTGGAAGAGTAAAGGGGAATTTTGTGATCAAACAAGAATTCAGGGGTTGGGTCATCAGAAAAGTCATGGCATACTTTTCTGTTTCTCTATGCAAAAAGGTGTCATGACTTTTCCAACCCAGTATTTTAAAGAAAATACAGAAAGTAGGACTAAGCTGGTGGCAAGAGACAACAGACCATAGAACACTAGGTAACAAAGGGACTTTGGAGGAGGACATATTGTCAGCGTGAGCCAGTAGCGTTACACAGAATCTCCTGACTGAAGGGAGGCTTTCTTGGCGGCTTATTGGTCAGAAATAAACACTCCTACTAAGGATAAATGAAGAAAATGACATCGGAAGCATTAAAACATCTCATGTAAGTTTGACTGGTGTGGGTTCCTTTGCCAGTTCTGTTTCCAGAATAATTTCCCTGAAGCTGTGTGCCTCTCTATAGCCAAGCTGATCACACACACCTAGACTTTGCAGATGTCTCAGTCGAGGCACATGGGTTATGCCTACACCTTTCCTCCTACCTTTCTCTTAACTCCCTTCTCACATCTTTCTGGGCCCTCTGGTCCTTCCTGAACCGGTGCCTTTTCTCTCCAGTTTCTGAACGCCAAGACTCTCTTTTCCCACACACAGTTGCCCAGTGTCCCTCGGTGCAGTCTCCATCACACCCTCTGTTACGGCCTGCCATGTTCTACCTCAGCTAGGTAGGAGTTCGGAACTCCAAACATGGAGGTGAACAGTGGATATCCTTCCTTCTCCAGGCCCTCGGGGGTATTTTCAGTCTCAGCAAACACACTCCTTATTTATCGAGTGTTGGTAGAAATGCTTGAGTAGCTGCCTTCCATTCCCTCAGCTTCCATCCCCTCACCTCCACAGCATTCCTGGAGGAGCAGATCCGCAATGAGTGTTGGTGGCCCTCAGCTTTCTGCCATCACCAGCCTACTTCCTCCCTCCTGCCAGCTCCTTTTCGGCTGATCTTTGCTTACTACCTGCCCTCCCATGAAAGGTGGCAATGTCCCCTGTGGGACACAAGCTGCTCTCCCAGGTCACTTGGGACCTCAGTCTTGGCATCTGGTATCCTTGGAAGAGCCCCCTGCCACCCAGTAGTCACTCAACTCTGGGCAGCAGAACCTGTATCAGAAAGAGCTCTGGCTCTCACCACAGGTTAGTGGTCTTCCCAAGGGTCTCAGAGTGCTTGTTCTAGAATGGCTAACTAGATCATCTACTGCTTATACCGTGTGTTACCAAGTAACGGCAACACAACAGTGGTTGTGTAATTACAAGTATGTGTCCACATAACACGAACTTTTGTTTGATTATCACCCTAAATGTTAAGCCTGCTCCTATCTCTGATCTTGCTGTTACCTGCTCAAATAGAAACATTGTGGCCATCCATCCTCCAATAAGATGCACTGATTCTCAGGTGTGTAGAGCTCAGCAAGCAGACCCTGGCACAAAAGAAAAGCTAGCGAGTGCAATGAAGCACACATTCTTTTCTTTTTAATTTGCTGCAGGGCACGTGTGTTCACCAGAGAGAGACAGAAAGTGAGAAAACACTCCCCCAGGAGAAATGACCGTGCCACAATCCTTTCTCCTCCATTCTCTTGGGGTTTGGGGCATGCACACATGTGCCCAGTGTGTTTTTCAAGTCGCCAGGTCAGGGGCTCAATTCTTGCAGTTGGCCATATGGGATCCAGCCACTTTAACCACCATACCACCAGCTAGTCCCACTGTACACATTTCTTAATGCATCCAATCTCCTTCACAGTGTTTGACATTAATTTATAAAAAAGGAGATATACATAGGCCCATACTCTATCTAGTAAGTGCCTCAGTTATCTAGTCTAGGAGCGGTTGAGAGGAAGGGGAATGGTGTTCATTCCAAATGGTAAATGGTAAATGATTTTTAAGAATTCTTTTTAGCTTGACCATGTGTTTCTATATGACATATATTAGGTCATCGGGAAACTCATGACATGTTTCTATGTTGTCTATGCAAAACTGCATCATTACTTTCTCGATAACTCTATTATAATTTGATCCCTTTTTTTTTTAATAGCTCTGGAGATACTTCGTTAGCTACAAAATTATGACAGGGAAATTTATTTCCCCATCCATTTCCCCTATTTTCGAATGCATGTTGTAGAAAAATCATCATTTTCATAATAATACACAATATCAGGATCCGGGGGGGGGGGGGCTCATTCTTCCATCCCTGTCCTTCCTTAAACTTGCTATACTCTGATTCACAGCTTTCCTAGGAAAGTCAGAGAAAATTAAAAAGCTCACTTCCAAAACTCTCTCTCTTTCAGGTCCTGCCAGGACCCAGGATATATTTCAGATTCAAAGCAAGCAGAGATGGCGATGTCAAGTTGAAGCTACTTCAGATAGCTAGGTGACAATGTCCAGATGAAGACAAAAGCAAAATGTGCCCATTCAAAAGTTACAATATGCACAATTGTCCCATGAATCACTGGAAAGAGACATTGAAAGCGTTTGTGTTTCTCTTTCAATGTTATACAAATGCCAAAGAATGAGAAAAGAAAATCACATCTTTACCTCGTTTACTTAATAAATGCTTTTAAATGATCATTATGACTTGCCACAGCTTAGTGAATAATACGGTATCTCGGTTCTATTGTAGTAGAAGGCGACCAAAGGATTCTAAACGAAATTGCACAAAGGGAAAAGAATTACTAACCCAAGAGTAGAATACATATTTACATATGTACACACACACACACACACACACACACACTTATTACCAGGCTTTTGTAATCCATTTTTCAATATATAAATCTAAATAATCCAGTCATAAATAAAACAGCAGTTATATTTAAGTGCCCAAAGTAACAATTGCTGTCCAAGGTCTAAGTCACATTACATTGTAGTGATTCTACCAACTGCGCACCACAATTATACTCTTTAGGTTTTATCAGGGGTTGTCTAAAGGATCCTCTCTATTCAAAACAGTACATCTTACACACCATATTCAATAATAACTGACTGGAGAGAGGTGAAATGCAAATCACACTCCAAACAGACATTCTCTAGCTCAAGAGACTCAAGGGGAGGACTCGTGGCTGGCTCACCTTGTGCCCTCCGCACCTGGCTCAGGGCCTAGCACATTGCAGATGCTCAAGTAAATCTTTGTTAGATTGAACTAAAACGGTACCACAAAGACCAATATCTTTTTATGCACTCACAGAGAGAAAAATCTTCTCCCCAGGTCATGCCACGATCCCTTCTCTTTTCTCCTCTTGGGATTTTGGGCACACACACATGTGCACCCAGCATGTTTTTTTTCAAGCCACTGGGTCTGGGACTCAAACCACACAGTTGGTCATATGGGCTCCAGTCACCTTAACCACTATGCCACCTGGCTGGCCCTAGACTAATAACTATTTAGCCTCTGACACTATGGGTGTTGGCTCTCCCATCATGTTCAGTATTTAATATGGGTGTACCCTGTGCAAATTCAGACAGTATGTGGACACTGACTTCAGTGGTAATACTTTTTTTTGGGGGGGAGAGGTTTTCACTATAGGGTACGTGCGCTCACCAGACAGACAGAGAGAGACATAGAGACAGAAAGCGAGAAATCACCCCCCAGAGGGGATGGTCATGCCGCAATCCCTTCTCCATTCTCCTCTCGGGATCTTGGGCACGCACGCACACGCGCCCGGCGTGAGTTTTAAGCCACCAGGTCCAGGATGCGAACCGCGGTCGACTACGTGGGAATCCAGCAACATAGCCATTACACTAATTGCTGGTTCCCAGTGGTAATACTTTTAAGATGATTTAATTTTGAATTTTCAAATGTTTTTAAGAAGGAATATTACTGAACCTTTGGAGTAACCCGAAAAATGTTAACATATTCATTTAGTATCTACATGTAGCATAACTATTGTCTTATAAAGAAAAGCTATTCAGTGTTTGATATTATCTCTGGGGTGATTAAAATGAGTATGATAAATAAAAAAGAAACCAGAATTACAAGAGGTCAAGCTAAATAAGTAACAATAAAATCTTCTGCAGTCATTTGTGAATGACGATATTGTGTTACTTGGGGTAATATTTTGAACATTCAAAATGTTCATGAAAATGTATAATATGAAAATGCTCTGTGAATTTCTAAGTTTTTGCACCAAAATACACTTGTACTTTAATTCCATTTTACGCAAACTTTTTGAACTTCCCTTGTATCTGATATTTGGTACAGAAGTATCCTCTAATCACTATCCTTGATAAATTAAGGTGTGTGGGATTGTGATAGGCAATTTCATTATCAGTACAAGAAAAAAAGAATAGCAAGAATTGTTGCAAATTCCAAAAGTTAAAAAATATGGACCAAACAATATGTAGAAATGATCTCTTTTACATTAGAAAAAGGGACAGATGTCCCTGTTAACCTTTCTCCTAACCATATACCTTCAGTGGAATAATCCTAAAGGTTTAATGCTTAATAAATTAGTCAGAAAGGAAAGCTCATTCAACTGTTCATATAGTCATGGGTTTTCATTGTGGTATTACTTATATGTTTAATATGTCTTATATATTTCGTAATAAAATTTGTTTTGGTAAAAGATGAACTTTTCAAGCAATGTATGTTTTGTGTGAGAAATTACCAAATGTTTGTTCTCCATAGGAATCCCTTAAGGAAAACACACTGACTATGCTTTATAGGAAGAGCCTGACTTAACACAAACCATTTAATAACCCTCATCTAATAGTCTTCCCGGTCACTTTTATAGAAGCCAAATGCTCATTCTAAGGCCCAAAAGTATCTGTTTCCTCCATGTATTCAAGTTTTTGGAACTTGATATTTCCCACAAGGTTTGGTAACAGTGTCCCTAAGTCAAGGCGACAAAAGAACTTTGCATTAAAAAAGAGAATTTAGAGCTATAGTCAAATTTGGAGGGAATAAACTACCCCTTTTCCTTATAAAGATCTGTTAATATGTATGTCTCTGAGTTCCATAAAATCTCCTGCTTTGGTGGAAGGGTAGGGTATAATGTTCTGCAGTATCACTTACATACAAAAGACTACCTCTGAAACCTTTTCAGTTAAAATACTGTTTCAAATTTTAAAAAGAAATGTGTCATTGTATTCTCATTATTCTGGGGGCCACATGACTTTAAAAAGGTCAATGACAAAAAACTAAAGGGTTTCTGAGCTCAGTAGCAAAAATAGCCAGAGAGCTGAAAAAATTGATATGTAAAGAACTAGAGAAACCATGGATGGCAAGCCTCAAGAAGAGAGGTGCGGGGTAGGGGTATGGTGGGCATGACAATCTCTTGAGGCTTAGAGCACACCCCGTCGAAGCAGATAATCAGTATATGACTGTTGAGTGAATAAATGAATGCATGAACCAACTGATGAATGAACTACACAAACTCATAGTAGAAAAGCAATAGCAAAGAAGAGAGAAAAAAGCAGCTGATGACAGAAACCAGGACGTACTTATCTTTGCTCGATACCACGCCTGGTACACTGTAAGTGCTCATACCAAGCTTGATAGCATGTCTGGTACACAGTAGGTGCTCAATTAATACCTAACTAGATTTTGGTTCAATCACTAATCACTGCATTTAAAGCAGCCCGGCAGGGGAACCAGCTGCCTTATAAGCAGTAAGCTCACATTTCCTCTACACAGATTCTACTTCAGGCCTCAGTCTCGGCCAAGCGATGAAGCCAGAAAAGGACAAGTCTTTCAGTTACTTTCAGAATTTACTTCAAAGATTCCTTCCAAGGAATACACAAGACCCTGTATTTTCAAGTGAAACTATTAAAGCCTACTGAAACCCAAACATTTTTTCCCAGTCTATTAAGACCCCCAAAAGATGATCAGGACTTCAGGGCAAATATCCTTCAGGTGGCAATGCCCCCAGTCAGAGGGAAGAGTCCCCATTTTGAGACAGTTTAACTGTAATCAGCACAGTTTGCAGCTTATCCTCACCTCAGCCAGCCTCTCCTAGCATCTAGTTCGAGTGTTTCCAATCTTCACAGAAAACTCTCAAGTCGGTCTGCTGACTCAGTGTCCTCACACAGGCTGACGGGCGATTAGCACACCAGAATGTTTCACATGCGCAACGTGAGGCGTGCTCGTGAGCCTCGCAGGCAGCATTTTCCCAATGCTACTCACAACTGCTTAGTGGGTCATTATCTTAGTGACTCACGACCAACATGTGTTTCTCATAAATAAAATGAAATGGAAAAGCTGGGATATAATGGAAAATATCCAAGTGCCTCACATCCATAGGTGTAACTTATTTCATGAAAAGTGTGTTTTATACATATATTATTAATGATTTAGGTGACCATGTCAAGTGAATTTTTTACTGTGGGCTGAAGTTTAAAAACTCTGAAAGCTTCTATTATAAAAAGAAAATCAGAAAGACGGAGCAGGCAGGTGGCATGTAGTGGTAAGGGCACTGGGCTTTCACATGGCCATCCGTGGTTCGAGTCCTGAACCTGGCGACTTGCTTTCTCACTTTCCCTCTCTCTCTGACTTTGTTCCTCTCTGATCAAATTTAAATAAATAAATACATGAAGTTAAATAAAATAATTCTTTTAAAAATCAGAAAGAAGACCATGATAGTGAAGAGCAAGGGCTTTGAAGTTATCAGAGCAAGGACTCCAGTTTTATCAAAGTTTGAATTCTAATTCAACTATTTATGTGCTCCATAATCTTAGCTTGAGCCTCTGGGCCTGTTTTCTCATTTGTGAAATGAGAATAATATACAATATAGTGTCCGATATCCAATAATCCATAAATGACAACTTTAATAACATCTCCTATGAGGACAGTGCAAGCTATGGATGTCTGTGTTCTCAGAGTGAGCACGGTTTCTCCGATCTTCACACCTGCAGATCTGCAAGGAGTCATAGGATCCATTTAGAAAGGATTCTTACCTCCACAAGTGTTTGGCCCTTAAATACCAATTTGCAATTATACAAACTAAAGGAACCAAAAGTCCTAATGTTAGACTGAAAATGGGGGTGGGAGGGTAGGGGGGGAAATAGGAAGTGTTCTTTCTCAAAAGTGGGCTTACGCTGGGGAAATCCAGTTTTCTGAAGTTGCGGCCAGCACCAGCACTGGGATGTCCATCCCAGCAAAGGGAGCCAACACGGGAGGCCCAGGACTGTTCCTGCAGTTTGGGCAAAGGGCTCTGGAGGAAGGGATAAAACATTCTTTGCTGTCTCTACAGACCCCAGTACTTCCAAGGAGCTCCCTTCTCGCCCAGCCTTGCCTGCCTTCTTGAAGGAGTAGCCCAACACAGAGGCGGAAGGGGCCTGGGTGGAGGTGGTGGTCAGGTAGACAGGAGCTGCCTCAACTCCCGTTCTCCTTCCCCTCCTCAGGTCTGGTCCTCAGACCTGATTCCTTCTGGGAAACCAGGACACGGGCTCAGGAGCCTTTGTAAAAAGAGGCTCCAGAGGCTGATAGCACCCAGCTGGGCTGAGGACAAGCACATCCCACCCTGCCCTCCACTGCCAGGTGCCACCTCAGGTGTCCAAGCCCCTAGTCTCTTTCCCCGGCATGAAGTTTCAACTGCAAAGCCATGCCCACCCTTCAGCCTTGTCGTTCTCAGAAATAAACTTCTCTGAGTCCCACAGGTTTCACCCTGTATCTGACTCATTCAGATAGTCAGGTATTTTTCCAGAGACCTTTGGGGCTCAAGGATTCTTTTCTTTCCAGGGAACAAATAGCAGAGGCCTATAGCCATCACCTGGCCTGGCATCCTGGGAATATCTTAGTATGTGCAAAGGGAACTCCAGATTACCTTATGGTCTTCTGGGGCTGCCCCCTTCCCCTAGGAGCCTGGAGAGGATTTGACCAGGCACTCCCTCCCTCTCTGCACTATTCTCGTCTCCACCAGCTTCCAAATCACAGGGAAGAGGTACAGAACCACAGCTTAGAGACGATGGCCCAGCACAGTCCCAAGGCATTTGTGGGGGGCTTGGGCCTCGACCCACAGGGCAGTTGGCCTGTCCCTCCCACCTCTGGCCCCAAAGTGAGAAGACTTGAACACAGACCCACAACCCTTCAGCTAAAATGAGCAGGTGCCAAGCTGGTCACCATTTCCCAACACAAGCTCCTGCAGCCGAAGTCAGGGTGGCTTCAGACGGAGAAAAAGAGAGAACTCCACAGAGCAGTGAAGAAACACTAGACCCCAAAAATCTCCAACAGGTGAGGCCCAGCATCCTCAGCTCTGCACTGAGGAGCAACGGTCTGGCTGGGCAGGCTTCCTGCACCAAACCTGGTATTTGGGGCCCAGGAAGAGAGCAGAATGAAAAGGGGAAGGCAGGCCCCAGGTGACCTAGAGGAGCCAGAAGGAATGAGGTGCAGCCCCCAGCTGTGAACTGGGCCCAGAGTGACTCCTCACTGTGCCACACCCTCTGGCTGCCATGTTCACTCCCCCAAACCTGAGATTTTCCCTTAAAAAGGAGATTGGTGAGGTGGGGGTCAGTCTGGCCACCTGGCCTGGCTCAGGTGATCATGGGGGGGTCAGCCTAAGTCACCCCCAGCTCCTGAGCTGCCTTTGAGGCAGAAATACAGAGCATCTTTGAGAAGGCCTGCTCTGTCGGTAGGAAGGTGGACAAAATGCTCAAAATACAACAAAAGCAAGGACCAAGACCCCAAGGGGTCTCACTCTCTGTTTCTCTGGACTCCCTGTGGGGTGCCTGTGTGCAGGTTTTCTGCAGAAGATAGTCCATTTTGTTAAGCCTTTGAATATTCAAATTGAAAGTATCGCGCAATCATTGATTGTCAAATCATGGGTTTCTAGAGGTTTTAAATACTTGGCATGAGGGGGAAAAAACTCAAACCTATACCCGAAGGTATAAAACATTAATTCTGTTTGTCTCCTGCTCCAGGGACCTGGGTGCAGCCGGATGCTTTGTGAAACTTTAAAAATGTGGCATCTCTGCTTCTCTCCTTGCACAGGAGCCCTCCTAGGCGCTGAGTCCCTGCAGCTGCAGCACCCAGCCACCGACCCAGCTCCTGCTGACCACGATGTCTGGTAACTCGGCTGCTTCTCCTGGGGTCGGGTCACGCGGGCCAGGGGCATTTCGATCCGGGTGTATTTCCACAGCTTTTCCTGCACAGAACAGAGAGGCACAAAGTCAGGGCATGAGGGGAAGGGCCGGGAATCTGCAGAGGGTACGGGTCACGCTGCGGCCGCTCCCACTAGGCGCCTGCTCCCAAGGGCAGAGGCCCAGAGGCCGAGCTGGCCGCCGCCGGACATCTGCGTACCCCAGGCCCCTGCAGCCCTCGCACTTTCCACCGTGGTGCCCCGCGACTGGGCGGCGCGGACACCGAGAGCGCGGGCGAGACCACGGAGCGCCAGGAGGGGGCGGTGGGGGGAGCTAGAGGCTCACTGTGAGCCCGGGACGTGAGCTGGACGCCGGCCACACACTGCTGGGCCGTGGCGGTCCTGGTGCAGACCCCGAGGCACTCCCACTGCTCGCGGAGTCCGGCCGGGCGCGGAGCCGGGAAGTGGCGGGAGCTGGGAGCGAGACTGCAGCTCCGGGAGGGCGCAGCGCCCGCAGCCTTCAGGCCGGGCACCGGCTCCCCGGGGCAGCGCGAGGAACACCCGACCCCTGGCCCGGGGAGACCCTGGCTCCCGAGTACCAGGGGGCTCTCTGCTGTCCAGCTGCGGTCCCCACAGTGTCCAGGCGAGGCGCTGGCGGCCTGGCAGTGTCGCCAGGCTCCCGGACGGAACGCGCGGCCGCCCTCAGCCGCCGCCCCGGCCCCTCCCCGCGCGATCCCGGCGCTCATTCCAGGGTCGAGGTCAGGGCCGGCGTCGCTGGGCTCCTGGCGGCCACCCCCACCTCAAAACCTCGGCGGCCCGGCCTAGCGACCCGACCTACTCACTGCGGCTCTACGAGGCCCAGGGCCTCGGCTGCCCGGCTTCCGGGCACAGGGGTCCTTCCCCGCAGGCCCCTCCGGCCCAAGCCCCCGCAGCTCCCGGCCCACCAGCCCCGGGCCGCCCCTTCCGGCGGCGGCCTCCCCGCAGAGCGCGCGGCCCTGGGGCCCTCGGGTGGCCTTCCCGGGAGCTCGCGCTGCGCGGACTCGCCCCGGAGGCTCCGTGCGCCGCGGAGAAACGGCCGCACCAGAGAGGGAGGGGTGGGGAGAGAGGGGAAGCAGGGGAGAGCCGGAGCTAGGCCTGAAGAGGGAGGAGGAAAGATGGAGAGCGGGGAAAGGCGGAGAAAGGGGCGAGGGAGCGATGGCTGAAGGAAGGGACGGGAGGACGGGAAGGAGGCCCTTGGACCTGGCCTCTGTACTAGGATCGATCCAGCAGGTCTCCCACCGGCCCAGGGCAGAGCTGGCCCAACCCCGCCGCTCACCACTGGGCTGACGTCCAGACCAAAGGCACATAGAGGTCGGAACCTCCCTAGGAGCCCTACCTGGCCTAGTGGAGAAGCCAGGGACAGCACGGTGGGGTGGTCTAGGTCAGCCAGCAAAAGTAGGAGAGCCCCCCAGCTGCAGCGTTCGGCCCTGCCCTGGGCCAGCAGCCTTGGCCTCCCAACCCCAGGTTCCCCAACTTAGCCAAGGTGGTGAGCCCACCTGATCTGGTGGCTGTCCACATTCCTGTGCAGGGAAACCTACGTGCTATTGGTCTCAGGAGGGGGCCAGCCAGATGTGGATGGCCCCACAGAATTCCAAAAGTTTCCTTCCCACTGGGACCTGAAACTTGCTCAGCTTCTCCTCACCCTTTCAAGTTTGAGAAATGCAGTTTTATCATCTTTTGGCACTCCTGTGTTCTCCCAGCCTAGAAATGTGGCTTCAGACTCCATAGCCTATAAAGGGGGGCCCTCACGCTGCAGCCGGTCACACAAACCTGGGACTTGACCACTGACTCAGTTACCTTTCCCCAGAAAAGCCGAAGGTCTATCAAGGTGTCCGGGTGAAGATCACAGTGAAGGAACTGCTGCAGCAGAGAAGGGCACACCAGGCATCCTCGGGGGGAACCGTAAGCATGACCCTTTCACTTGCTCCCCAGCTCGTCTTAGGCCTGGCCAGACCCTGGGTCTGGAAAGGTGTACAGGCCACCCTAGGCCCCACTCACCACCCCCGACCTGGCTATTCTTACAGCTTCTGTGCCCAGCTTCATCCCAGTTGACCACAGGAAGCCACAGAGAACAGCTGGAGCATGCCGTAGGCTTAGGGTTTGAGAGAGGCCATCCCCTGCTGGCCACAGTCGAGTATAGAGGGATTGTTCCTCTGCAGGAGAGGAGCAGCCTGCAGGTAAGTAGGTTGTCGCTGTGTTAGGAAGAGAGTGTATATTCACATCCTGTAGTGAATTTCTCCCAGACATTGGCCTTATTTTAGGGAGCTCTTCCAGGATTCTATCTCTGTGAAACATCCTCCCCTCCTTCCTCATTCTTCTGGAACTCGCCTCTGAAGTCATTTGTCTGTAAATCACCAGTCATTGCAAGTCCCTAGCAGAAGCAGACAGCTTGGAGCACAGGACCACTTCCCTAAGACGTAATGAAGTCTTAGCAGTTCCACGTCATGCCAAGGATGATCTGGGCATCTTAAGGGTACCCTGATCATTTATAGACCTTCCTAAAGCAGATGCATACTGCCAGGAGCACTCAGGGCTGTAGCAGAACCAAATGAACTGAGAGGGGTTATCCCCCAAGAAGGGGCAGCTCATCTCTGGAAGGCTTTGATCGTACAATTACTTGTGGGTTGGTTTGGGTGTGGATTTAGGACCTGATGGCTGGGGCTCGTGCTTCCCAGCCATGTGGTCCTTTCCTACCTGGAGATGTGGGGCATCTGCCCCACCACAGTTTCCGTGCCTGGTGCTGGTTGTGAGCAACGTGTGACTTCATGAAATGGGAGGAGGCAAATGAGGTAGGGGTGGTGAGCACAGGCTCCAGAACCAGATGGACTGGGTCCAGATCTCAGCTCCTCCGTGATATGTATCCTTTAGTAAATGGCTCCAGCTTGTTGCCGCAGCGTCCTCATCTTTAAGTTGGGGCTACAGGACTTCTTGAGAGTTCAATGAGCTATTGCATAGAAAGTGCTTAGAAGAGAGTTTTCCATAAAGTGAGTCCTCCTGCCATGTAAGCTACCATTATTATTTGGGAAAAGTGACCAAAATAAAGTTCCAACCAAGGACTTAAAGCCAGCTGTTTAGTAATGTTCATTCACATGCTTTGCTCAGAGTTTAGAATTCATGTATAAGCTTGCTGTGCTTTGGCACATTCCGCTGGAGAAGTGAGTACTTCCCTGTGCAGGATTTCAGGTAGCATATTGGGTTGTCGGGAAAGTCATTGCAAGTCCCTAGCAGAAGCAGACAGCTTTGCATAGAAAAACAAGTCATGACTTTCCCAACAACCTAATAGTAACCTTGCATTTATAGAGGGCTTCATGATGGTTTTTTAAAACCACTTTTTGCACACTCACTATTTCATTTAGTACTTATACTAACCAGTGGAGGTAAGAAAATCAGAGATGTTTCCTGCCATGTCTACTAAAGTTCAAAGTATCACCAGTGCTAATGACAGATCTAAAAGTACGACCGAGGTCTTTGCATTCTCAGTATAATGTCCCTTCCCACCTAGCTCTTTAAATACATCTTTCTGCAGATCCAATCCTACTAAGCAGGAGGCTGGTAACCTTGAACCCTTCTGTTCAGAGATGGTTACATAATTACTGACACCACACAAAAGAAACTGGAATATGCTTCTGGAGAAAAAAGATGACCAAGATACTTACAATAAAACATCATCTTTCACTAAGGAGCGGGCACTTGGTACAATTCTGCTTCAGCTGTCCCCAGAGAGGTCCCAGCAGGGCATGGAACCCTGCTGCCCTCAGGTCCTTACAGACTGGCTGAGCCACTGTCCCCTTGGTAGCTAGCTATAGGAGCTAAAGCCAGAGTAAAGCATGTCATTTGTTTGTCTGACCAGTTTCTATTCCCTGGAGCAGTTTTTCTGAATCCCTCCCTAAGAAATAAAGCAGGACTCCTGAGCCGGTGCCTTGCAGGAACATGTAAAGTGAAGCTTGCTCTACTTTGCTTCCTAGAAGATTCTGTTGGCTCAAGCCTTAGCAGGCATAGAGGAATAGCAACATGTGTCATCTAATTATGAGAGCCAGATTAAAAAAGCAAAACCTCACTGGAAGCCATGCAAGGATCTGGAGTCCCAGGAAAACTAGGAGAGTATATCCAATAAGAAAGGATAGCAGATGCCAGGGGACAATTTGTGCCTGCTCCTTAGTGTAGACCCTGATTTCCTACTTATTTCATTGCTGAGGATACCTCGGGAAACTTTAAACCAAGGAGAGAGTACAGCAAATATTGCAAATCAGGAAAAAATTAATCTGTGGTAATGTCAGAGAAGTAAACACAATTTGAAAATGTAGGAGGGCAATCCAGAATGGAGATAGAGATTGAAACAAGTATTGAGTTCTTAGGGAGTACCAAGAGGAACCATGTGTATGCCACACTGGTCGGTTTGATTTAAAAATACGTAGGTCAACCAGATCAATTTGCAAACACATTGAGACTCACTCACATACGCATACGCACAGACACTCACACTCCCTCATTTATTTTGCCTTTAGGGTAAGGGGAAGCTTGAGTTAGTACTTATGGAAAGATAGAATTTACTTTTCTTTCTTTTTCCCATTTTTTGTTTTAAACAGCCTCAATGTGTTTTTATAAAATTGTAGATAGTGATTGTTTGTGCTGTTTGCAATCTAAGAGGGGGTTCCCTTCTTTGTATTCTTGGAGTAACGTAGAAAGTGAACCCATGACTAGAAAGATAATATCAAGAAGGATATTGTAAACATACCTCAGGGAGATAACAGGGGAGGCAGGCAAACAGGCCAGTCCAGGGGAGGACCAGGGTTAATGAGAGCTCTACAATGAAGGAGATTTTTTTAAACCCACTCCTTCCTAGTCCTTCAGCTCAAGCTGCAGTCAAATATTTGCATAAAGAACTGGTAAAGGATTCCAGCTTCCTGGTTCATGACATTACAGCATGGATCATTTTCAAAATTAACACCACCTCCTGTTTCAGCAGTGGCTGGTGGAGCTGCTCTCTGGTGGCTCAGTGCGAGGGAGTGAGTATGTATCCCTGTAACCAAGAGGTGTGGTAAGCTCCTCTTCCCAGCCCAGAATCCCAGAGCGATGCTGGTCCCTTTAAACTTTAAAGCCACCACCTGAAATCTTAAACAACAACAACAAAAAACTAAATTACTCAGCAGTTATCAATGCAAATAGAAAATGCAATTTGCTTTACTTTAAATAGTGAAGTATTTAAATACTACAGTGAAAAACAAGCAAATTTTACAGAAAATAGTAAAAAAAAAATATAGAGTTAAAATATTTTCTGGTCACAAACTAAAATCCAGGTAGACTTCTTACTCACTACAGCTTTCAGAAAATATTTCTATTTTAATATTTCATAGATAGTAAGAACAGATGATTAGTTTTAGCTTCTGAGGATTAACAAATTTAGGAATTGAGTTCTTTTGGGGAAATGAGGTATGTGAAAATATTCACGAAAATGATTGACTGTCACAGAGAGTTGGGATCACATACATATTAGTCCTTACTCATTTTTAAATTAAATAGTTCAATGAAAAGGATCTCTGCTGAATTGAACTATTAAATTTCTTTAACAAAAATTATTTACATGAATTTTTATAGCAAAATAATTAACCTTTAAAAGTTAAGTGAAATCATCTGACATTAGGGAAAAAAATTTCTGAGTAAACAGACATAAAAATTGAATTTAAATAAAATATAACATTTGTTGTATTTAACAAAGGTAACCCTTTTAGAAGAAAGAAGCTGGCTTACCTTATAGCATGAGGAATGTAGTCCCCTTGGAAATGTCTTAGGTTCCCTCTGATGAAACACTCACTCCACTTTGCTTCATGGTCCTGTTCTTGTTTTGGCAGCTGTCCGGAGGCAGCAGTATCCACCTTTCTGACCCAACTGCACCATCTTCTGCAGGTCAGTACAGCCAGCATTACAATAGGCTCAAAAACTCTTTCAAAAGTCCATCTCCAAGTTTTTCAGTGCTTGATGCAGGGGTTAAGATAGGCACCACCATTTAATTGGAATCCAACCAATCAGAAGGGAAAAAGGCACAGTGCCTCCAGATGCAAGCCCAGCAAGGAAACAAGTGCAATTTTGTGTTCTCCCTGCTAAACTATCTATTTTCTGCTGTCTCTTTTGTCCCAAGAGCTGGTTCTTCACATTTGTTCCAGTTCTTCATCTCCAGGTAACTTAACTTGACTAAAAATTGAGAATTGTTTCAGAAACTTATCTTTTATTTTTTTTGAGTAGTACTATAGATGGAATACAGAATGCCCTGAGGCACTAGAATAATGCCTTTGCTCTTCATTTAGCTTGTAGCCGACAGGGGCTTCCCTCCCCTTCTCTCTTCCCAGAAAGCAGTTCAAACAAGTGTAAGTTTTCTCAGCCCAGTACGAATAACTCTATTGCATAAACATTCCTTTCTGTGCCACTCTACAGCTGGGAATTTAGGGCGGTCATATAGGCGGAAAACTGTGCTTATAGTAGCTCCCCACTGAATGTGACACTTTCACTTAAAGGAACTTGAGACTTTAAAAAAAAAATCCAGTGTCCTGTAGTCTCTTTTATGGACGCTCTCTAGATCGCTAGTCTCTGAGTATTTAAGGATAATTATCACAAATTGAACCTATTAATACCAAAATGGAGGAGTAAAGTTTTCCAAGTTATTTGTGTTTGGTATTTAACACCTTATTTTAATTCCATTATCATATTAACATACCAAAAACTTTCTTGCTTTTTGCAATTTAAAACAAGTAGTTCTAATTTGTAGTCTATGTTTCTGGATGCCATTTTTATCATTCAAATTATCACTCAGATCACTTCTCAAAACTCTCCACAAAACCGAGCTTACTGATGGGCCAGCTCCATAGTGTAGTTGTAGCATTTCGCGCAAGTGAAGCTGGATCCCACATGGCAGCTATGGCTTGAATCCCCTGACCAGCTCAGCCTGAAACTTGCCAGACATATAGTGTCCAAGATCCCACAGGTAGGAGGCCTGAGGGAAGGGGATCACGATGTGACCAGACCCTGTGGACAGTACTCCTCTCTCTCTCTCTCTTTCTCTCTCTCTGTTCTCTCTGTCTCTTTCTCTCTCCCTCTCTCTCTCTCTCTCTCTCACACACACACAAATTTAGTAAGTGTGAAACATTTAAGAAAGCAATAACCTGAAATCAAGAAAACTATTTCCCATAGCATTTGAAGTTGTCTCAAAGCTGCAAGTAATTATATCATTACTTCCAAGAGGTTCTTGAACCTTAGCCAGAACTAGATGGTGATGCTTCTACAGCACAAGAAAGTGGCAGTTTGGGCCATTAATTGACTGTGACACTTGGACATATGTTGGGAAATTCTTTTTTCCCATTTGCCCTAGCCACATATACATCCAATGTCCACATTATTAACTAGATTTATTTCGCTGGAACTTGAATTAGCTAAGACAACGATAAAGTCTACATTGCCTGTTTGTTTTCTTTTCTAGAACTTCTTAACCTACTTTTTCCCACTTGGCATAATACAAGGGGACTTCAAAATGTTCGTGGAAGAATAGCATTAAAATATGTTCATTTTGGCACAAAATTTTTTGAAATCTATGCAAATTTCTCCATAGTATGTATTTTCTATCAACTTTTTTGAAGTCCTCCTTGCAAATACTCAGACAATAGACTTAAACTCCATTCAAATCCATAAATGCCCATTTTAATCAGAAATCTGTCTTTTTCCTTCCTCCTCTAGGACGGTATTTTGAACCTGAACCGATTTCTTCCATGCCCAATTATTTTCAACCCCGAGAATTTTCCAGTTGTGTTTCTTGTGAAGAAAGCTCAAGCTGCCTCGACCAGATCTTTGATTCCTACCTTCAGGCAGAGACACCCCCGGAGCCTTTGGCCAACTCCCTGCAAAGTGCTCCACACTATTTCCCAGACAGCTTCCAGGCTGCCCCTGTCTGCTTTAACCAGAGCCTGGTAATTTATCTCAGTTCTTTATATAACCTGGTGGTGGCTAACTGTGGAGTAGTAATGCTTTGTGAGAGAGTTTGCATCATCTCATGAGAAATCACATACGTACTATCAACCAGGAAACAACAGAGGACCATTGAGAACTCAGTGTGTGGAGGTAGCGGCACATGGCAGGTCACAAATCTTTGAATACACACACGACTGATTTCCCAAGTAGGCCCCTCCCACGTAAGTTGGTATATAGTAATAGTAAGAGGTTTCCTGGTAATATTCATTTCATGGTTTTTAACCTGTGAAGTTAAGATACCTACAAATTGGAAATCATTGTTTTAAACAATGACTTGGATTTTTTTTGATAGATCTTTGAGTTCTTGAAAATGGAATGAAGGCCGTGTCTACACAATACCAACCGTCATTCTGATAGGGGCAGATTTTATTACTAAATGGTCTCTACTAAGTGGTTATTTTGGTTTGCTATAAGCACAAGAATTCATTTGGCTCTGAGACAGTAAAAATTAAGCCCTAATCCTAGAAAGAATTTTGATATCTGTTCTTAATGGGTCTCAAAGTTTTAAAAATAGTTATCCTTAAAATGAAGTAAGATTTTCATTAGTAAATAGAATGTTTTAGATGTCCCTTAGAGACTTTTTATAAACCTTGAAATGCGCAGTTTTTAAAAGAAATACAAATGATGTTTTTCTTCTGAGTTTTCAAAAGTCTTAGTAGACACCAGACTTCACTTTTAGAGGGGGTAGGAAATCAACTCTGTAGAGAATGCTTATTGTCATGGGGAAAATCCTGATCGCTCCGTTCCCTTCCAGCCTCTGAGTTAGGCTTTCTCCGTTAAAATGATAGAACGGCTCCTTCCTCAAAGACAAGTCTTCAGTGGCAGAAAGCAGAGTTAGTCATCTTGAGTGTCCGAATCCTTGAAGATTCAAGTTCTCCCTTCTGTCTTTGCCTGTTCACCTGGTTCTCCATGGTTAAGGATGTGGAGAAATAGCCAAGGTGCCACCTGCAGCTTATATTGTGGCACTCAGCAGGATTTGATGTGCAGGTGACTTGACGCACAATGGGATCTTGTGGTTTAAGAACAAAGCATCCTCTAAAGCATGGTTATAACAAAGGGAGTCAGTGAAGCAATGTAATTTATTGTTAGGAAGAAAATGGGTAAATATAGAATGTGCAGTCATGAAATCACGTCCTCAGCGAATAAAATGATTTCTGCAGACTTGGGTTGGGTGTTTTGGATTTTACCCTATTTAAAAAAAAAAAAAAAAAAAAAAAAAAATTCTGTTAATAAACCACATTTTTGT